TTTTTTTGAATAAAAATAAAATAACCTTTTCTCTCGCGGTTGCCAAAATCAGAAAAATACACTCAACCTGGCATAGTGACACACACAAGTCAACACCCTCCCACTTAACTTCAAGAACAGATGCCGCGACAGACATACCGGTAGAGCTGAGACCCTCAAGGTCTGCTCTTTATGTCCGCGCAGGACCCTCGAAAGTGGTCGATCCGAGGAAACACCTACCGGGCTTCTGTACAATGGCTCGCTTAACGCACTTAACGTACACCTTAAATTAATTTTGAAATTCTGCTTCCTCTCAAGAATCCACACGCTCGAATACCGGTATTCGAATCCTTCCTTCTTACGGTTCGGGCTATTGAAATCTGTCAAGTGAATGTGGGTGGGTGGACCTGGGCCAGTGAGGCCTGCTACGGAAAACGACATGATGTTTGCATCTCTCCGCTGGAATAGAGGGGGATGTTAAGGACCCAGTTAACTAGAGAAAGGGTTTAAGGTTCATTAAATCCAGCTCAAGCCAGTCCTAGACGGGGGACCAGTCGGTCAATTGTCAGGGACAATTCAAGGATGTAAGTATGTCTGGACATATAGGTATTTAGCCAAGACAGGTGATTGATGACAATGACTTCTCACTTGGCAACAGAGTCGGTGTCTTCGGGCTTATCTTATGATAGCGAAGATCTCCTGTACAGCGACGAGGATCTATTGCCGTATCTCGGAGGGAGGAATCCTACCAAAACCCTTGACATCAATCCGCCTCCAAGCATGTTCTTGATCTTGGTATCTATCGAGGACGGCTTTCTTTGTAGCGTAAACATCATACGGTGTCAATAAATCCCAAAGATCATTGGGATTTCTATTCGCAAGTAATCGTCGCCCTCTTCTATCTTGCTCGTAGATATTATCAATATAGATAATGCCCAAACCTGAAAAAAGAAACGGTGTATATGATGCGGATGCAAGTGCCGATGATAGACCGCTTTGCCGAGCATACAGTACCCAGATACGCCTGGCTCTGGAGGCATATAAGTCGTGCAATGGAATTCCTAGCAGCTCCAAGGTTATCGTAGAAAATTAGTATGACGACTATAAGGATTATAAGTTCCCTGTGGTGATGTTCAAAGTTGGTCGGGGGGCGCTTTTGCCGTATTTTGAAGAGTGTATGTTGATTGAGAGAAATGCGAACGGCGATAGATATGGTAGCAAAAGGCGGCAGATGTCAGATTTCAGGTGGAAGCTTTCTGGACGACGATAGCAGTGTGATGTGTGACAGCCGTGGGTAAGGGTAACAGCTTGAAGAAGAGAGCGGAAGTTCGGGGGAAAAAAACGCTCATGAATGAGGAAAGAGCTGGGAAAGTCACACGGCGATGATGGCGACAGAGCTGCGGGAACAGAAGTCTCGGAGCGATATCTGCAAGGCTTTCTATCGGTAGGGGCTTTAAAATAGAGTTTCTCTTTCTAGGCAATGAGAGGGAGCGCTGTTTGATTCAGAAGAATACAAGTAATTTATGCAATGCAGGACTGGGGTGCTGACTTTGGTGAAGGATTTGCAGGGAGACAATAAGTTTGAGCCGGAGGATGATAATGACGATGATATTCGTGGTAAGGACAGTGATGATGATCATGACAATAATGATAGCATGAGAAATTCGAAGTCATTCTCAACATGATGGAATTCTTGGGCATGGTTCCCAACCGAGTTGGGATGATAGGCAACCCGCCTTGATATCCAAATCGATAGAGGTGTGTTCGGGTCGAGTCTCCGGCCAGGAGGAAGAAGGAGAAGCATGAGACCCGCCAGCGGGTCCCAGCTGCTGAAGAGTTTCGGCAACTCACGATCTGGATGGGCTATGTCAGGTACGGAGGGCATGTGTTTCGACGTGGCTTCTGGGGACAATCTGCGGGCATCTGCATACAGTACCATCTGCATGCACCCCGTAGGGCGGTAGGGCGGTAGGGCGGTAGGGCCGTAGGGCGTAAGAAAACATGATAATTTCTGGCGGCAATCGCGAGTAATGGTCAATTGGCGGGGTATGGAGCAAGTACCTGGTCGGACTATGCAGCAACATTACCGGTACCTACAGAGTACCGGTATACAGAGTAGGTATAGGTACATGAACTTGCTAGACTGACTAAACTGGGTAGATAGGATGGAATATCTATCATCTTTCTGTTGCACCCTTCCCCTTCAGGACTAGGTAGGCAGTCTAGGGACTGTAATCAACCATACAGAGTACGTTCTGTAGAAATATAAAATAAATATAAATATGCCGAAATATGAAGAGTTACCGGTATCAATCAACGAGTGGGAGGGGAGAGGGGGTTTGTGCCCCACTACCAGAAGTGTATTGGCGAGGGGCATCCTCCAACCAACCAACAACATCATACGTACGTAGTAAGTGAGCATTTAAGACCCCGCCCTCCACCTCCCCCTCCATTATGTTTTCCTCCGCAACCAAACTCTTCAGAACCACACGTACGCGGTCTATCGTTCCAACAATCACAGCAACAACAGCAACAACAGCAACAACAGCCACAACAAACACACCTGTCATCCGAGCTTTCTCTCGCACAGCAGCAAGTATGGGTGTCACCAAGACCATTCTCAAGGAGGGCTCTGGAGCTATCCCCAAGGTCGGTGACAAGGTCACTATCGAATACACTGGCTACCTCAAGGACACCTCCTGCCCTGAGAACAAGGGAAAGATGTAAGGCCCCCATCCCATCGACAATGGGCTTGCCAATCCAATTTCAGTGAAGCTCAGGCTTCTCCTTTCACATCATCTTTTGTAGCTCCAAAGAGCTACCGCACCCCATGAACAGCCGCTGACATTCAATTACCCTTCTGCAGATTCGATTCCTCCGTCGGCCGTGGGGCTTTTGTCACCGACATCGGTGTCGGCCAAGTTATCAAGGGTATATCCTGCAGAATGGACAAGTCGCCTCGAATAGCACACTGACAGCTATCCAGGCTGGGACGAGGGCGTTACCACCATGAAGGTCGGCGAGAAGGCCTCGTTGGATATCACCAGGTACGGTTCCAAGCTCCTGGTCCTTCCTTCCAGCAGCCAATGCTAATTTCTCTGGGCAGCGACTTCGCATACGGCAACCGGTAAGAGATGCAGCTCCTTCCCACCTACCCGGCTACACGACATCCATATCCCACCTGGCCGCTGGCTTTGGAGCCCTAGGCCTCTGCCGATCACCCATATCGCATTCAGTGGCAGACTTACTAACTCATTCGGCAGTGGATTCCCGGGTTCCATCCCAGCTAACTCGGATTTGATCTTGTATGTCTCTCCTGCCACTGCTCTCTGATTCTTACATACAGCCGCTGACGCTTATTACAGCGATGTTGAGCTCCAGAAGATCGGCTAGAATTTTACGCCGATGCCATATTCTTTCATAGACGTTGATATCAGGACAGAGTTCACACTTGGTGGGGGTGGGCTTCTAGTGTTATCAGTCCACGGAGATAACTAGACCTTCGTGGATAGACAAATGCAATGCTTTTTCTGACATATGTGGTCATGGTCATACATGTGTACAGCATCAATGCGTACAGCATGAGTGATTCTACACTCGCCTTTCTAGGTATTTGCTGCACCTGCCGTGATTTTTCTACTGAAAAGCCTGGAGATCCTTCAACTTGATGCAAAGGTGTGTGTGTATTGATTCCTCTGGGGAAGCTATCCAGAATCCGGATCTATAGCAACGAGTACCTACCTGAAGGCGAAGTCAAAGGCCAATGATGTCAATGGTGTCCCGTTTCGTTTCTACGGAGTATAGCAAAAGACGGGCAGGAACCAAAACAGCTTTTGAAGTTTTGAAGGAATTCTGACACCACCCAGGACCGGGGGGTAATGGGGAAGAGCGGCCCCGGCCATTAGGTTAACGGGTGGAGGTACGGTACCTAGGCTTGGCTTTGTCATCAGATAACGTGATACTCTGCTGTCTGAGGCCCAGTAGTTCGATGCACTTCTACGTCACCTGATCTCTCCGCATATAGGGAGTTTGCTCCCCTTTGGTTCCTTCTACTATGTCATTGGCGCTTCTGGTGGTTTCGATATTAAGCTCAAATACATTAAGCTCCTTCTCGCTATCCAAATCTCTACATAAACCGAAATCCTGTCGCTTTCTTCTGGGAAATCTACATTGAGCGCCCGCAACCCGTGTTGGTACTTGCACCACCTTTGCCCGACCGACCTCCCGCAACCCGCAACCCGCAACCCGCAAGGCTCCAGCTAAAGGATCCGTCTCCCTTTCCCCCAGACACCCACCCAAACGCCACGATTGCATCGCACGTGTTAGCAGACGGCGAAGGCAAGTTGGGGAAACGCAAACTGTCCAGCTCGGACTTCTCGCAACCGTCGAAGAAAATCATGGCGGTAGGTTAGACAGCTACCCCTCCATCAAGCTACTTATCTATCTGTCGTGCAAGCTTGCCTCAAGCTCTGCCCCGCCTTCTCCGTCTCTGCAAGCACCTCACCTCGGTCACCAACTGATTATTCTCTGTCTTACAGGAATCCAAAGACGTCGATATGGAGACCAAGATGCAGGTGGACGATTCGGTCGTAGGCAACAACGATATCGATGAGTCTCTGTACAGCAGACAACTCTATGTGCTAGGACATGAGGCCATGAAGCGCATGGGTGCATCGAACGTGCTGATTGTCGGCCTGAAGGGTCTTGGTGTTGAGATTGCAAAAAACATTGCCCTGGCTGGTGTCAAGAGTTTGACGCTCTACGACCCCGCACCCGCCGCCATCGCCGACCTCTCCGCCCAGTTCTTCCTCTCCACTGAAGATGTCGGAAAGCCCAGAGCGGCCGTCACTGCGCCGCGAGTAGCTGAGTTGAACGCATATACCCCAGTTTCCGTTCATCAGTCAAATGAGTAAGCTTGAGATCTGCACACTGGGATTAGGAGCTTACCCTACTACAGCCTGACAACGAACCTCTCCCAATTCGATGGCTACCAAGTCGTTGTTCTTACAAATACCCCCATCAAGGACCAGATAATCATCGGAGACTACCTACACCAGAAGGGAATCTACTTGGTTGTGGCAGATACATTTGGCTTATTCGGATCGATATTCTGCGACTTCGGCGACAAGTTCACTGTCATCGACCCCACAGGAGAGACTCCAGCCACTGGTATCGTGGCTAGCATCGACGAGGAGGGCTTGGTGTCTGCTTTGGACGAGACCAGACATGGCTTGGAAGACGGAGACTATGTGACCTTCACGGAGCTGCAGGGAATGGAAGCCTTGAACTCAGCAGAGCCACGCAAGATTACCGTCAAGGGCCCATACACGTTCTCGATCGGAGATGTCTCTGGACTTGGACAATACAAGAGAGGTGGTATGTTCCAACAGGTCAAAATGCCCAAATTCATCGACTTCAAGCCCCTGTCTGTTGCACTCAAGACCCCCGAGTTCCTCATCTCCGACTACGCCAAGTTTGATCGCCCTCAACAGCTCCATATTGGATTTCAAGCTCTGCACGGGTTCGCTGAGCAGCATGGCCGTTTACCCAGACCCCAAAACAAGGAGGATGCTGCGATTGTGATTGGGTCTGCGGAGGCTTTTGCAAGAAAAGAGGGTTTGGATGTCGAGATCGACAAGCAGTTGCTTGGTGAGCTGAGTTTCCAGGCAACTGGAGATCTGAACCCTATGGCTGCCTTCTTCGGCGGTCTCGCTGCTCAAGAGGTGTTGAAGGCGGTCTCTGGAAAGTTCACGCCCGTCAACCAGTGGTTGTACTTTGATTCGCTGGAGTCGCTGCCAGAGAAGTCTCCTAGATCTGAGGAGCTCTGCAAGCCTCTAGGCTCTAGATACGATGGCCAGATTGCCGTATTCGGAAGCGAATTCCAAGCAAAGCTGTCAAATGTACAACAGTTCTTGGTGGGCGCTGGTGCCATTGGCTGTGAGATGCTGAAGAACTGGGCTATGATCGGACTTGCCACTGGACCAGATGGAAAGATCAGCGTGACAGATATGGACTCGATCGAGAAAAGCAATCTCAACCGACAATTCCTGTTCCGACCCAAAGATGTAGGCCAATTAAAGAGTGATTGCGCAGCTGCCGCTGTGCAAGTCATGAACCCGGATCTGAAGGGTCACATCGAGGCGATGAGAGATCGAGTTGGCCAAGACACGGAGCACATCTTCCACGAGAATTTCTGGACTTCGCTAGACGGTGTAACGAACGCTTTGGATAACGTTGATGCCCGAACATACGTCGATCGTCGCTGCGTGTTCTTCCGCAAGCCATTGCTGGAGAGTGGTACTTTGGGAACCAAGGGAAACACTCAGGTTGTCATCCCCAACTTGACCGAATCATACTCTTCATCTCAAGACCCTCCGGAGCAATCGTTCCCCATGTGTACCCTGCGAAGTTTCCCCAACAAGATCGAGCACACCATTGCGTGGGCTCGTGAGTTGTTCGAGTCGTCTTTCGTCAAGCCTGCAGAGACTGTCAACCTTTATCTGAGCCAGCCAAACTATATCGAGACAACCTTGAAGCAAGGAGGCAACGAGAAGGCTACTCTGGAGCAAATTCGGGACTACTTGGTCGAGGACAAGCCTCTGAGCGTCGAGGACTGCATCAAGTGGGCTCGATTGCTGTTCGAGAAGCAGTACAACAACGCCATCCAACAATTGCTGTACAACTTCCCCAAGGACTCTGTATCTTCTAGCGGAGCTCCCTTCTGGTCTGGACCAAAGCGTGCCCCTGACGCACTCAAGTTCGACCCGAATAATGAGTTCCATTTTACATTTGTTAAGGCTGGAGCAAATCTTCATGCTTTTAATTACGGTATCAACACCAAGGGCTTGGATGAGGCTACAATCACGAAGGTCTTGGACAACATGATCATCCCCGACTTCTCGCCAAATGCTGCAGTGAAGATTCAGGCTGATGATAGCGAGCCGGTCAGCACCTCCTCTCATTTGAAGCAAACTTTACTGATAACCGAGTTAGGATCCTAACGCCAATGCCTCTGCATTTGATGACAACTCCGAGCTCGAAAAGATCATCGAGAAGCTCCCACCACCAAAGCAACTGGCGGGCTTCAAGCTCACCCCCGTTGAATTTGAGAAGGATGATGACACCAATTATCATATCGACTTCATCACCGCAGCAAGCAATCTCCGTGCTGAGAACTACAAGATCGAGCTTGCCGATCGACACAAGACCAAGTTCATTGCCGGAAAGATCATCCCTGCGATCGCAACTACCACCGCGCTCGTTACCGGATTGGTTATTTTGGAGCTTTACAAAGTCGTTGATGGCAAGAATAAGCTCGAGGACTTCAAGAACGGCTTCATCAACCTTGCTCTCCCCTTCTTCGGCTTCTCGGACCCCATTGCCAGCCCCAAGGCCGTCTACAAGTCACACACCGGCGACGTCGCCATCGACAAGCTCTGGGACCGCTTCGAGGTCGAGGACATCACTCTCCAAGAACTCCTCGACTTCTTTGAGAAGAAGGGTCTCACTGTTACTATGCTCAGCTCGGGCGTTAGTCTCTTGTATGCGAGCTTCTTCCCCCCGGCGAAGCTAAAGGATAGATACCCGATGAAGCTTAGCGATCTGGTGGCGCGCATCTCGAAGAAGCCGGTGCCCGAGCATCAGAAGGCCGTCATCTTTGAGGTTTGCGTGGAGGACCAGACGGGCGAGGACGTCGAGGTTCCCTTTGTTACGGTGAATATGCGCAAGTAGATGCAGGTACAAAGGATGATGATGACTGATGGATACATGAATTACATTGGGGTGGGAATTGCGAGACGTAGACTGTTAGTTCGCGGCCTTTTCTGATCGGCGATGAATCAGTCCCGTGCATAGAAAATGCAATATTCTCTTATGACTTCTCCCGCAGTGCTCTCGTCCTTCCATCTTTTTTTATATGTAATACATTGTGCAAGCGAAGTCAAGAACGTGAATCGCATACGGTACTCGCCCGCCTCCCCTCCCCACGGAGCCTGGGCCTAGACCTTCTCTCGGCACCCTTTCTCAGGCTGAGTAATCGCGCTGCAGGGGCCCCCGCACCGTCATTGATGTAGCCCTGTTTACCTACCTACCTACCTACCTTACCTAGGTACCTTACAAAGCAGCAGCCGCAGCCGCAGCCGCCGCCCGCTCTTTTTCTCGATCCCCTTTTTTTTTCTCTTTTTCCGAGAATATCATCCCACCTAGGTAGCTACTCCTCATACGACACAGACACCAGTCCGGGAGTGACTGACTGACTGATGCTCCATCGCCCTCCCCACCCTATCCCCATCCCACCCTCGTCAATACATACATAGGTACCTAGGTATACATATACATATCCCCGTGGTACCCCCGTGTACCGCTTCTTGTTCTACGCGGCGGATCATCTCGAGTTGGGGTTTGAGGGGTGTTGGTGAGAGTATGGTATGGTTGGAATTTTTTTTTTCTTTTTTTTTTTCGCTTTTGCTTTTGCTTTTGTTGGTTTTTTGTTGGTTTTTGGGGTTTTTGGGGTTTTTTATTTTACTTTTTTTGGGTGTGGGGAATAGGGTTTTGGTGGAGGGGAGGATGAGGGGTGAGGAAGGGTTTGTGTTTGTGTTTGTGTTTGTGTTCTGTTCGGGTTTGTACGTTTGCGTTTGCGTTTGCGTTTGCGTTTGCGTTTGCGTGCGGATCTGCTGGCTGTGGATGGAGATGAGGGTGTTGGAGCTTTTGGGTTTTATGTGTGTGTGCGTTTTTGCGAGAGGAAGATGAGGAGGATGAGGATGGGGGGAGGAGGAGATTGATGGGATTCGTGTCTTTTATTCTTCTTCTTCTTCTTCTTCTTGTTTATATAATATCTGATTGTTTTATGTTTGATGGATTGATAGACTGATACCATTGTGTGTACCTCTCTCTAGGCGGCGGACAAGATCACCAACTGGGTCGCGCCGAATGACGAGAGTGGCGAGTTCAAGCGCGGGCAGTCGCAGTTCCGGAATTTTGTGAGGAAGGGGAAAGGGGAGGAGTTTCCTCCGGAGGCTGGGAGGTATCATCTTTATGTATGTGGGTTTTTTTTACCTCTTGTTTTCTAAGTGGGGGGCTGATCTCCCTTTGGGAAGAGGCGAGGAGAGGAGATGGGTTGAGTTGAGATGAGGGCTGGAAAAAAGAGACCGAGAAAAGGGAAAATGAGGAGACGGAAGAGAAATCACCTCCTTGAACCCTCCGCTGACCCCCTTCTTCCAGGTCTCGTACGCCTGCCCATGGGCGCACCGCGCCTTGATCGTCCGCCAGCTCAAAGGCCTGCAAGACATCATCCCCTTCACCTCGGTGCATTGGCACATGCAGGAGCTGGGCTGGCACTTCGCCGACGGGTCGTCGTCGCAGACCGACGCGCCGGGCGCGAATGTTACGCTCGACCCGGTCAAGGGCCACGAGGGCTACAAGCACATCCGAGACCTGTACTTTGCGGTCGACCCGGGGTACCAGGGCCGCTTCACGGTGCCCGTGCTGTACGACGTCAAGCAGGGCAAGATTGTCAGCAACGAGAGCTCGGAGATTATCAGGATGTTTTACACGGAGGTATGTGTGTGTTTACGCTGTTCGCTTTCAACGCCTTCGCTTTCCGACCTTTTCCAACTTGGCCATTCGTCAGACGGAAGATGGAAAGGGGGTTTGCAAAGAAATCGACAAGGTGCCGAGTGAAGAAGACTGACATGAGGTGGACCCACAAAAACAGTTCGACGACCTTCTCGCTCCCGAGTTTCAAAAGCTGGACCTGCTCCCGGCCGCGCTGCAGTCGCAGATCGACACCACGAACGAGTGGACCTACAACGACATCAACAACGGCGTCTACAAGTCCGGCTTTGCCACTACCCAAGAGGCCTACACCAAGGCCGTCACGACGCTCTTCGCCGCCCTCGACCGGGTCGAGGCCCACCTCGCCACCGTCACCGACGGGCCCTACTACTACGGCCCTACCCTCACCGAGGCCGACATCCGCCTCTTCACGACCATCATCCGCTTCGATGTCGTCTACGTGCAGCACTTCAAGACGAACGTCCGCACCATCCGGGCCGACTACCCGTATATCCACCGCTGGCTCCGGGGGCTGTACTGGGGCAATAAGGCGTTTGAGGAAACGACGGAGTTTACGCAGTATGTGTTTTCTTTTTCTCAGGAGATGTTTTTTTTTTTTTTTTTTTTTTAGCTACATAATTCTCTAACCTATCCATCTTGCCTGTACAGCATCAAGAAGCACTACACCAAGAGCCACACGCAGATCAACCCGTTCAGCATCACGCCGCTGGGTCCCGAGCCGCCGATCCTGCGGATGGACGAGGAGGTGCCGGCCGTGCGGTTCGCGTTAGCGCAGGCGCAGGTGGCCCAGAAGTAGGTAGAGCCACCAAGGATGTTCTGTGCTTTACTTGCTTCCCGTGCTTTGATTTGCGTTGCGGGGACGTTCGAGGGTTGTTTTGTGCTGTATCTACGAAGTACGTTGATGGATGAGAGATGGGATCACTTTTATTTTTATCGTGTCATTATCCTTTTATTGTTAACCGCTCGGTGGCGTGGTTGTCGCTTCTCGTAGGTGATTTTTCTTCTCTGTTTCTTTTCGTCTCTTTCTTTCATGCCTTGACCGGTTGGCGTGGTTGTCGCTTCTCGTAGGTGACTTCTCTTCTCTTTTTCTTTTCGTCTCTTCTCTTTCTCTCATGCCGAGAATGTTTCTGCTTCTGATGGATTAGTGTTCTCTGTTCTGTGCTGATCTAGCGATCAACAAGGAAAAGGTTTGCCTGGACTGAGGTTTAGACTGAGGACTCGATTTCCATCGAATGGGTCAGCTCCCAGAGGTCATCATGTGGACATGCATTTCGTCATCTGCAACGGATCGGGGCTAGTCTAGTCTGTATCGATGACTCGGAAAGGGAGAGGTCCTAGATTATATAAAGCAAGGGTCAGCCTTGGATATCGCACACGTTTCTCATCATCGTCCTCGGATATCATATCGTAATAAGGTTGAACAATGTCCTCATATGGCTCAGCAGGCATGCCATTGAGAAAAATGATCCATGATGACATGCTCGAGAGGACAGGACCGCCGATCCTGCGCGCCGTGGGCTTCGTGTGAGGGTAGTTCGCTACTCGGTGCAGCTTGTGACAGCCAGGGACGTCTCTCTAGAGACCTGAGATTATGAATTGTTAGTTGTTCTGCATGATTGTTTGGCCGTCTTGATGGAGGGTGGAGGCTAGAAGGGTGGCCGGCTTAGTGGGGGGAACTTAGCGGCAGAGAGCAGTGACTTGCCCGGCATTCACGCATTCACCAGTCCAAGCCAGATGGATGCATCTTGCGATTGTCTCGAGATGACCACCGAGTGGAGTGCTCAGACGGCGAACGGAAAAGAGAAATGCGGATGATGGAACGCTGGAACGCTGGAGGTATGGTGTGGTGAGGGGAGTTGAATGGAAGAAGGGATGGAGAAGAAGGAGAGGAGGAGGAGGAGGAAAGGGATAGAGCCTGTCCTTATACAGCCACTGATTCTATCCTGGAGGTGACCAAGGCAGGAGCAGCTCAGATCTCGGGGAGAAATTGCATCGAAAGTCATGATACGATCACTTTGTGGGTGATACCGGTACTTGCCATGGGCACTGGATAGCCGGGCAACCCGCCGTCACCCACTCACCGCATATCGGGAGCAAAGATATGCGAAAAGATAGGTACCTACCGTACCTGGATCTTTTTTCCACCGTTTGTACGTGCTTTAGCCGTGCGCTAATAAGGCAAGCTGTCGGCTGCTCTCAGTCACTCGTTCCATGGCGTGCGCTACACCGACTTTCACACTGACTCAATTTTTTACTCCCGCTACGAAAGTTTTTCTTAAAGAAGAGTAAGGCTACCCTTAATAGCACCATCGCAATCCCACATCTGCAAATACAACTCTATCATGTCTAATCTATCTCTATCTACACTACGTTACCAGCGCTCTGCTTTTATACTATTGCTATCATCTAGTTAATTCAAGGGAATGATAAGCGTTCGATCGCCACTGCGAAGGTTTAACTGAAGCTAAAGATTCTTCCACCCCTTGATAAGTTCTTGACGTATTGATGGTTCGTCCAATTCAAGCTTTATTTGAGCTCTCTTGAGCGAGGCAGTGCTTGCGACGACGGATCTGGCAAGTTACGTGCTTCGGCAGAGGAGACCGATGTCTACGTATAAAAGAAGCGCGCTAGCTAGGCGAAGATAAAGCGCGTAAGACTGCTATCAAAGCTTTGAAAAAACAGCACGCGAAGCTGGAAATCAAAAGAAAAGCCTCGCCGGTTTCTTGCAATCACGCAAATCGTCGAGACAACAGGAGCGAAGGTGCCAAAAACAAAGCGCAAAATGAGAAGGATTGCCTCGTGGTAAGCCTACGGTTTCCAATCCTAGCGCTCATGCGAGGAAAAGATAAGAAGGAGAGGTCGAAGGATATGGTGGGATGCTTCCTCGATTTGCTTCAGGTGTATCGTTTTTGTTGAAGTAGATCAAGAGATCGGATGAAGGCCAGAGATAAGCATGAGAAAGATTGCCTGGCGTATCTAGATCTAGCGGGATACATTATGGAGCAAGATTTCGAGCGGAGAATTTGCTACTGATTGGAGTTGGGTTTGGGATGGATTAGATTTTTAGTTTTATATATATATATATATATATGTATAGCTTTAATAAATGTTTAGCGTTGGTAGTGGATTATAGGCATCTTATTGAGTGAGCGCTGCTCGCAGTTTTGATATTCCGAGTCAGTTTGAAAGTCGGTGTGTGTTTTGAAAGTCGGTGTAGCGCACGCGATGGAACGAGAGTGACTAGGTACCTAAGAGCAGCCCGACAGCTTGCTTGCCTTGTTAGCGCACGGTTATCAACTGGCGACTTGATCCGTGGAAGAAGCTGCTGCCCTCCCGAAACGGGATGTCGGTAGGTAAGCGGTGGGGGAGATGGAGTTGAGGTTGAGGAGCGAGATGTATTGGCAACGTATAGTCCTTTCTTGACTTTTGGCACCGACGGGTTTATGCACGAAGTAAAGGTAGGTAGGGACGTGGGGATTGGATGGTGTGCCTATATCATCGTTTCTTCTGTTCTCGAGAGATGGACGAATAGATGGGATAGAGAGAGATGTATTGGTATTTATTATATCCTCGATGCACTCACTCCAGGGCCAGCCAGTCAGTGGTCAGTGACCCCGGTTTTGAGTACCAAAGCGTGCCAAGGGCTCGGCAAAGCTTATTCATTTGCTTCTTTTCTTCACGATCTACTTTCTCCACTTTCTCGATCTTCTTCCCACGATACTGCAGTACATACATACAACATACAACATACAACATACATCATACAACATACATACACATAAAATTTCACACACCGACAACCCGGATGGAGGCATCCCCGACGAGTCACGAGAGCGGGGTCCCCCGACAAGCATCTCGATTCCCAACCAAGCAACGCCACCTCGCCCGGAAATGCTTGTTCTTGTTTCAGGGTCCCGTCTCACCCCACAGCACTGGCCCGGGCCGATCACGGATTATTCCCATAATGAACTCCTCCTATACGCGGGCAGTGGGTCAATGACTTCGACCTCGACCTCGACCTCGACCCCATTCTCGACCTCGAGCTCGAGCTGCTCGAGTCCAGGGACGTGTGACTGAGCGAGGGGTGATTGGGCCATCATCCATCTCCTGCATGTTTCGTCTCTCTGGACTTCCTCTCTCACCTCAACATCAACCTCAACCGTCTTGAAGGTAGTGTACTGGCTTACCTATATATCACCGATCCCCACCTACCTCTCTTCTCTCACCCTCTCACCCTCTCACCCTCTCACCCTCTCACCCTCTCACCATCTCACCCTATCCCTCAATATGGCGGATCAGATCAACCATGAGGATCAGGCCCGCAGCGGCCAGGTCATTGCCGCATACGCAAAGACCCGGCTCAGCACCCTCAAGCCCCCGATGAATAGAGCTCCGAATCCCTTCACGCTCCTCGCCATGCTCAGTACTAAGCAGTGGCTCTTTTTCTTGGTGGCTTTTTCCGCGTGGGTGAGTCTTGTTGTCACTTTTACCACTTTTACCACTCTTCCCACTCTTCCCATTCTACTTCTCTCTCCCCGCACCGCAATACCATACTGATACGTCGGCGCGCCAGACGTGGGATTCTTTTGATTTCTTCACCGTCGGCTTGACCGTCAGCGACCTTGGCAGGACCTTCAACAAGACCAACACGCAAATCACATGGGGCATCACCCTGGTGTTGATGTTCCGGTCGGTGGGCTCCATCATCTTTGGGCTCGCAGCCGATCGATACGGTCGAAAATGGCCGTTCGTCGTCAACAACCTCCTCTTCATCATCCTCGAACTCGGGACGGCCTTCTGTCAGACGTACGACCAGTTCCTGGCTTGCAGAGCCCTGTTCGGGGTTGCAATGGGAGGCCTGTATGGAAATGCGGCAGCGACGGCGCTCGAAGACTGTCCCGAGGAAGCTCGGGGGCTGGTCTCGGGCATGTTGCAGCAGGGCTACGCCTTCGGCTATCTTCTCGCCACAGCCTTTGCGCGAGGGCTGGTGAACACCACGCCTCACGGCTGGAGACCGCTGTTCTGGTTCGGAGCGTGTCCACCGGTCCTGATCATCGCCTTCAGACTCTGCCTCCCCGAGACCGATGCCTACAACGCGCGTGTGCTCGTACGCAATGAACAGGCCAACATCGGGAAGACGTTCGTGGCCGAAGGCAAGGTGGCTTTGAAGCGTCATTGGATGATCCTGGTCTATCTAGTGCTTCTGATGGCCGGCTTCAACTTCATGGTAAGCTCCTCGGGAGACGTGTTGTCACTTCTCCGCACCGCGCGCTAACAGCGTCCTAGTCCCACGGCTCCCAGGACCTCTACCCGACCATGCTCACGAACCAGTTCAACTTCTCGGCCAATGCCGTCACCGTCACGCAGGTCGTCGCTAATCTGGGGGCCATGTTGGGGGGCACCGTGATAGGCTACTGTTCCCAGATCTTCGGCCGCCGCTTCTCCATCATCTTCATCTCGATCATCGGTGGCGCGCTCTTGTATCCCTACACCTATACCTCATCCCACGCCGTCATCGCCGCCGCCTTCTTCGAACAATTCTGCGTCCAAGGGGCCTGGGGCGTCATCCCTATCCATCTGATGGAGCTCTCCCCCGGCGCCTTCCGCACCTTCGTCGTCGGCACCGCCTACCAACTCGGCAACCTCATCTCCTCCGCCTCGTCCACGATCGAGTCCACCATCGGGAGCGAGTATCCCTTACCACCCGCAGCCGACGGCACGAAGCGGTACCAGTACGGCAAGGTGATCTGTATCTTCTTGGGCTGCGTGTATGTCTACGTCATTATCTTGACCTTCGTCGGCCCCGAGTACCTGAAGCGGAGCTTCGAGGTCCGGGACGATGAGGACACTGCCGAGGCGGCGGGCCACGACACCACCGAGGCTGCGATGAGCAAGATTCACAGGCAGGAGGGCATGGGGATGGGGATGAGTGCGACCGATAGGGCGGATATCGAGGCGATTGAAAAGGGAACTACGAGGAGTGGAGAGAGCACGGATGCTGTGCATCGTTAGTCTCGAGTTGGAGATTTCAGATCTGGGAAGTTGGAAGAGTCCGGCCGGCCGGGTCAAACGGGAAATCGCGATGGGGGCTGCACGCTCTTGGGTCCATGTGAATAGGCGAGAGAGACTTGTTTCCCAGCATGTCCTTGCTGCGGGATAATTTGGCGTTTCGCCAAGAGGTCGGGTTTTGGTTTAACTACCTAACTCGTAAAATTCCCTGAAACAAGCGAAGAGAAGCGAAGAGATGGAGGAGGACGAGTAACGTGAAAAATGATTGAATGCGGGAAGGTGATCTGTTTCAAGTAAGCGTGTGTGTACTATTTCGTCGGATTCAATCTAGATTTATATATTAGCTATTTGGAATAGAATACTTTGAATTATGGAAGACGGTATTTTTTGGGCGCGATGGATCGATTTCGGCGCCGAGGAGGCCCTGATAGTCAGTGTCACAGTGCAACCCAGAGTCCGCAAGTTTTCAGGCAACGCAACGCACTGACTATCATATCATGTACCTAAGTCACGTCAGAAATGGGATCTCGGGTGACACTGCATCTCGGGTTCCACTGCACGAACTGCAAGTACAGTACCGGTCGGTATATGGAAAACCGATGCAAACTTTACCGAGCGCACGTGGATGTTTTACGTCTCAGCCATACGTACAGTACAGTAATCGTCGGCTCGCTTAAGTGGGCCTCCTTTCAGCCTTTCAGTCTTAGTCGGTATAAGCGACTGCGGATCGGAAGCGAGTGCGGATTTTTCGAATGTGTTAGAAATTCTTATATACTATAGCAATTAATTATTACTATAACTTAAAAATATTTATATAAATAATTAATTTACGAGCATACCTTTTTCCGAAACATTTAAAATCGTATTATTAATCGATAATAAGCTTGCTATTAAGCAGCAAGGTAAAGAAAATTTTAAATCTGCTGCAAAATAACAACGCGTCGATAAGATTTAAAAAGAGGAAAAAGATATTAAATATCGTAAAAGAATCGTATAGTTGAGCGCGGGCGTAAAAGTATTATACGAAAACGCTTTGTTATAAGCTTGATTATTAAAGACGACGATACAATACTCATTTTAATTCTCAATTCGAAAGAGATTTAACAGATGCAACAACCTCTTAAGGGTCAAATTTTGCGGCCTCGTAAAAAAGGTATTCTTCGACCAACTCTTTCTCAATCCGAACTTTTTTACGATAACGATAATCTGATAATTATAACCGATACTATTAGAGACCTTTTTGTAAAGCAAGATGTTTTTCCTTTTTCTAGTATTAATATCGATAGCGATAGTTTCAATTCTAATAATAGTAAAGATTTAAACGATTCGTTGCGTAAAGTAAAAAACGAATCAGATTTTAAAAATAGCAATCGATAGCTAAATGTTTTATTAGATAAAACGATTTCGGATGTTTCGAAACAAGATATAATCGCAGATTAATTATTTATATAAATATTTTTAAGTTATAGTAATCATTAATTGCTATCGTATATAAAAATTTCTAACACATTCGAAAAATCCGCACTCGCTTCCGATCCGCAGTCGCTTATACCGATTAAGACTGAAAGGCTGAAAGGAGGCCCACCTAAGCGAGCCGACGATTACTACCGGTGCTGTGTATGGAGTGTATACCGGTAGATGGATGATCTACATACAGTATGCGAGAGGGGAGGAAGATCTAAAAGATCTAAAGCTTGACTGGCA